AATGTGAACGTTCAGAATTAGAGAAGTATCAGACAGACCAGCAAGTTAAAGGTATATCCCTTATTGCGGAGTTAACTTTAGTGTCAGTGTTGTCCCTGCCTTTCTCACACACGTCTTTACCCACTTATTTCCCTGCTCCACCATCCACCAGGATAGCCATCCACTTCTACCCCCTCCCTTCACATCTATCTCCCTTTGACCAGCCCTCCTTCTAATAACTTATATATGAAGCTTCCATGGCTTCTGTGATTCCAAACACATCAGCTGATGGTAATTCCTTATGTTGGGATCAATGTCTCTGAAGTTTAGTTGTAATGTTTCCCGAGCAATGGTGATGCATCCTATAGAACTGGTGTGTAGATAGGCTTTTCTTGGCCCGAGGGCCATAGAATAAATATTTTTTAGTGCATTCACAGGTACATTATGGACTGTCAATGAAGTATAGCCATTAAGGAAAGAAATAAAAATTGTGATAAATGATACTGACTCTCATTTGACTGCTTATTTGGTACTTTGCTAAAAGCTCTATTACCAAATATAAATCACACAATCTTGACTGAAAAGCTGTTATTATCTTTAGATTATATAGGAAGAAATTGAGGCTCAGAAGAGATAAATCATTGATATAGGCACTGTGGAGTAAGATTCAAATCTAGGACATTAGACTAGGCACAGAATAGGAGCTTTTAAACTCTACAATGTATTGCCTACAATTTTAAACAATTAGGAAATGACAAAATATTTTACCTAAGAGTACATTACCTGTGAGTAAGACTAAGCCAAGAGCTAGTTTCTTATCATGCACCATTCTACCAACACCTAAAAGAAGATATGCCTGCTCCATGCCTGGGCACAGCTCGTTCTTACCTGGGAGCCCTCCTCGTTGTAGTGCCTGGCATTCCGGAACATCAACTTCATGTCTTCTATCATTCCCTCTTCCCCCGCATATTTGTCATTCCGAATGTTATGTTCAATTATTTTCAAGTCCATGGGCTCCAAGATGATCTTATAATAATCAGGATAATCCTTTTTGGATGGTTTAACCATAAATAAATCACAGAGTCTTCTACCTGAACCTGGTTCTCGAGCTTCAAGAACAACATTGAATAAAATTTTCATTCGTTGCTTTCTTATGTTCTTTTTACTGTTAAAGGAGGAAGCAGACAAGGAGGGAAATGAGATCATGTTCAGTTTTCTTTGTACATAGATGAATGTGAAACCGAACAAAATAATCTTGTAGGGAGATGCTTCATAATTAGTATCAGCTATTTATTATTACTTCTACCACACATAAAAGTCAACCTGCTAGATGCTATGAGAAAAATTATGAAAATGGTTAAAACAAAGTGATTCTGCCAAGAGCAGCCAATGAACAGCAAATTTGTTTATAACATCTCATCAAATTAAATGCTTAAAGAGAACTTCCCTTACACCCGAAGAAAATAAAATTTTATTATCACCTGAACAATATTTTGCTTTTAAGATGAGTAGGATAAAACAACAATCAAAACAAAAAACTTCCTGTAATTTCTACCAAATTTTACTTCTAAGTCAAAAACAAATAACATCACAACAACACAATCTCCAACAAACTAACACAGACAAATATCGTATCTCTTCAGACAACCTCTCCTGCATACCTGCCTAAACTGTTTCACCATCAGAAAACAAAGGGAGACAGTTGGCCAGCCTAGTTCATTTCTCTATATTGTTTCAGTCTCTCCTACATTTATCCTGCTGGGTCAGTCTGCTTCCCTTCCTCTAGCAGCAGCATTTTACCATCCCTCTAAACAAATCGCGTTTAAAGAACAGCTTAGATGGTCAACGGTTCATCTAAGCTGCCTAAAGTAAAACTTTCAAAAGCCCTTCAGTATGAATTGCTGTCTTGTCCTTCATATTTCCTTACATGAGCTGTGAAACCAAAAAACAGATTTAAGTTATTTGCAACAAATTACAGGGGACTAGAGATGAGAAACAGAGGCAAAAGTGGTTTACGAGAGTACAGTCAGTCTAGTCTCCTACTAGTTGAAAAAACTGGCTCAGATAGGCTGAATGACTTGCCTAAGGTGAACTGCTAGTGATCTATTAGAAGTGATGACTTGTTTCTTTTAGAAAATGGAAAAAGAAATCAGAACTAGACAGCCAGCCATCTCCAAGGGAATAGTCAGGTAAGTATTAAGAAATAGATTATGACAACCATGTACTAACAAGATCCTATAATGTAGCACTTAACAGGTAAGTTTATTTTCCATTTGCTTCAAGTGGAGAAAAGTTCCTTCCTGAAGCAAATACTGTGGCTTAATGAGACTAAAATAATTGGATGGTACCTCGCTATTACTACTAAACATACTTATCAGTGATTATTTCAGGAAACCAGACCAAAAGGGGGAAAATGTAGAAAAGAAAGTAAAATTCTCATGGACTTAGTCTTTCTGGAGCCACTGAGTATAGATGAACTCCTAAAAACAACCACCTTGAGATAGATAACTTTCAGACCTTAAAAAAATATCCTCTGAATATTCCTTCTTAAAACCAAACAACTACCTTATTATATTTTTTTAATAATTATCTATATGGAATAAAACTGACAATAGCAACTTGAAATACTAGATAGAGAAGAGGAACAACTTGGAAAGGAGAATGAGTCTTGGCTACACAACACAAAAATATGTAACAATGTCAGCCTATTTAGGCCAGGGCATGGCAATTTCCACTGTTCAATCACCACAATTGCTTCTATACTTTTTATCTGTTCAGCGTTGGCCATCCCTACTCTTGCCGCCAAAATGATGTGTGGAGGGACCTCTGCTGCAAGCCAGTCACTGTGGAGATCCAGAAGACTGCCAACCAGGTAAAGTCCCAGCTTGAAGAGAAAGAAAATACCAAGTTCTCAATGTTTAAGGGTGTGGAGTTCAAGTCTCAGTTAGTTGCTGGGACCAACTATTTTATTAAGGTTCAGGATGACAAGGATGTCTTCACGCACCTACAGATATTTCAAAGTCTCCTTCACAAAAACAAGGCTCTGACCTTGTCCAACCAGGCTAACAAGGCTAAGCATGATGAGCTGACATATTTTTAATTCCTGGACTGATCTGAGTTCATGAGATCATACAAGAAAACAATTCTGTGGTCTGAGAGCATGTACCTGGGACCAGAAGATGAATGTCTCCACTTTGTAATGCTTGGAGCGTGAGGGATGTCAGAACGTTGCTCTGCTAGCTCTTTCTAAATTATTTATTGCATCCAAATGAATAACCAATGTTTATCATATTAACCAAATTACTTTGAAAGAAGACTAAGTATTATCAGGAAATATTTTTAATGTCTTTGAAAACAAAACAAAAAGAAATAACAATGTCACTGAATTGTACATGCAGAAACATTTGAACTAGCAGTTATGTATTGCTATATATATATATGTATATACACACAATAGCAACAAAATAAAATTCATAAAAAAATAACAAAATCTGTGTGGCTACGCTGAGTTTCCTATGTCAGTGTTCTGACTACTCATTCTACTGCTGGGTCATGAAGAATCCAAGGCTAGATTATTTTCCATCTAAAGATGAAAGTATGTTTTTTAAAAAAACAGAACAAAAATAAGAATAAAATAAAAAAGCATTTAACAGTTCAGGAGAAAAAAAAATCCATCCTTAAGATAGAAACTGTTTCAGAAATGCCTATCTTTCCAGCAACATGAAACTCAAGGCAAACAAAGTTTTTACTGGGCTAGAGAGGGAATGGGCTGGGGCAGAGGTGGGGTAAGGAGGGAGGGAGAGGATTCTCCATTTTTCAGAGTTGGGGTCCTGCTCATTTTTGGTGCCTTCACTCTTCCCTCTGTGGAATGCTCTGGAATCATTCTCTCCCCTCTGTGACAAGTGAGTGTTTGCTACATAATGGCTGTCTAGGGGAAGTTTCAGCAAATGGAAATGACTTCTTCAAGAGGCAATGATGGAGCAATGATGTAAAAGAAACAAGTTCTCTCACTGCAGGTCGCCATCAAGAGGATAAAGGAAGAGGAATTTGGCCAGAGCTCCAATTCCCTGCACCTGGGCAGATTAGAACATAGGTATCTTTCACTTTTAGGAAGACTCTAGAGGAAAGCTTTAGAACCTGAATTCATTATCACAGAAATCTGCACTTAAATGGCTTAAATATGGTTTATGTCTCACTTATGAAAACCGAGCGGGAAAAAGTAGATTCAGGGCTTCCTCCTGCAACAGGCGTGGCTCATTCTCTCACTTGCTCTCTTTCTGCCACCATCTTGGTTCTGCGTTCCCCGCACAAAATACCCAGTGAAGCTACAGAAACCATCCCTGCTACAGAGCAGGAGTTGCCATAGGAAGGCGATGTCCAAACTGGGACTTTGACAAGTCACAGGGGTTACTAGAGTCACTATCCAGAAATCTAAGAATATCCTCTTTGTCATCACAACACCAGATGTTTATAAGAGCCCCGCTTCAGATACCTACATAGTTTTTGGTGAAGCCAAGATTGAGGACTTATCTCAGCAAGCACAGCCAGCAGCTGCTGAGAAATTAAAAGTTCAAGGTGAAGCTGTCTCAAACATGCAAGAAAGCATACAAACTCCAACTGTTCAAAAGGAGAGTGAAGAGGAAGAGATTGATGAAACTGGTGTGGAAGTTAAGGACATAGAGTTAGTCATGTCACAAGCAAATGTGTTGAAAGCAAAGGTGGTCTGAGCCCTGAAGAACAACAGTAATGGTAGTATAAATGGTATTATGGAATTAACAATGTAGCCATCTGGGAAAATGAGGACCTTTTTTTTTATGTTTCAAAAAGAGTAACTGCAGTTTGGTTTGAAATTTGTACTGTTTCTATCATTAATTAAAGTTATGGCTTCTTGTTGGATAAAAAAAAGTAGATTCAGGAATTTAATTTTGAACTTACAAATTTAAAAGATTGCTTCAAGTATGAATGCTGTAAAAGAAATAGAAGCCATGATCTTTTTTCTGCCTCTCAGAGAGCTCTGGTGGCCTGTGGTAAAGAGTTGTGCTGTCAATATGAAGGAACACAGTTCGAATCTATCAGCAGTTCCAGAGGAGAAAGACGGGCAGTTTTCTTCTAACAATTTACTGACTGTGCAAACCTGCTGCAGGGTCAGTAAGAATTGGTTCTGACTCCATAGTACAGAAACAACTAGTACCAATTTCTAATTCAATCAACATGCAAAATCAGTGCCATACAGTATGAATGCTATAAACAGAAGCCATGATCTGTTTTCAAGTTTACAATTTAAATGAGGACATTTTTTTCTTACTGGAAATATTAAGCAAAAGTCAGTGGTAATATAGTAATTTTCTATAGTGAACTGTGTATGGCAGCAACATGGTTAAATCCAGAGCAGCAGAGCCGATTCTGACTGAGCAATCCCACAGGACACAGCAGCTATAGCGTTTTCAAGGCTGTTAAAACCTTACTGGGGCCAACTTTGTCTCTTTTCCTGTGGAGCACCTGGTGAGTTCAAATCACTGATCTTGAAGTAGCAGATGAGCACTTAGCCCACTATGTTAGCAGGGTTCCTAGCAACATGGCAGAGAATTATTATAGGTAATTTGGAACTTCCAAAGAAAAGCATGGAGTGAAAAGAATTTCTCTTAAATCTACTTGGACAACCACACAATATTTGGATATATCTCACTGCTGTTGAGTCAGAATGAACTCAAAGGTTCAGAGAATGAATTCTTTTGAAGAGTTTTTCAGAGGCTGTAAATCACAGGGCAGGAGAATGTCCACCTTTTTCCCTTGGAGCTGCTGGTATATTTGAACCACCAGAGAGGCATCACTTTTCGATAAGCAGCACAACTCCCTACAGACTACACCACCAGAGGTCTATGATTTTTAGCTGGGTACCTAATGCAATTATTTTCCTACATAGCTACCATATAAAACTTCCATGGTTTCAAACTGCATCTTTTTCTGGATAATAAGTTCCTGGAAAGTAACAGAGGAAATGGCTGAATTTCCACCTTTATAACCTGTGTAAGAGCAGAGTCTGGTGGTGTGCAAAGCAACTGACATTCTTTGAATGCCAGATGGCAAATGTGGAAACAAAAGTACCACATGATAACTACTAGGACCATGACAAAGAGATTCACAGTTATTTTTAAAATCATAAGCAACATGCAAAAGAATGGATCCTTTAAAAGAAATACAACATGGATACAACCAGACACTGAGGAAAAGTACTCAAGCTCCAGCAGTATTGCCCTGCACAGGTGTACACATGCAGGGACTCTGCTTGTGCTGTCACTGTGGACCCTGACCTATCCACCATACCCAATCTGTAAGAGACATCCCTGAGAGAGAATCTGCACTGGCCAGAGCCAGGACCCAGGGATGCGACCATAGCAACAATCTCTACCTTTTGGATGCAGAAGCATATGCTCAGTGATTTAGGGCTGAGAGTGGGGAAAGGTATCAGAGTCTTGCTCCTGGCAAAGACACCAACAAACTAAGGCATTCATGAACGTATCACTTTCTCTTGTGGAGCAGTTAGTGGCTTCAAACCCTCTGCCTTGGAGCTGGTAACTGCATTAACTACCAAGCCACCAGAACTCCTATATTTCTTTTTTTTTTAAATTTTTATTTATTATTTTTGTGTGAGTGTACTGTCAAATCAGATCTGACTGGTACAGGAGGAGATTGTCCCTCCTTCCCTGGCAGAGCATCTGGTGGATTTGAACCGTGCGCCTCTGGGATTGTAGTTGCAGCTCCTTGCCACTAGGCCACCAGAGCTCCCCTCCTATATTTCTTTTTATTTGAAACATCTAGGCTAACCAATTCTGTGTTTATTTTACTAGCTTTAATTCTAAACTGTACTGCTTTTTTATTTACACATAAACTAGCATCCAAGTCACCTTTTATTTTACATGCTTAAGGCTTCATTTTTCACCTACTCAGTACTGACCATGCCACAGATGAGTCATACTTTTTACTTTTATGCATAAAAAAAGGACTGCACACCTGGAGAGCCTCCTGAGACTCAATATGTGACTGTCATGAGTGCTCCTGGGAAAGCAGAAAGAAACATTACATGTGAAAAGAATCAAAGTCACATTGGAGGAGCATGTATAACTAAATACGGCTGAGGGGAAAAAGAGGTTTACTCAGTCCAGAAGACAAAAGATATTTTAAGAGTACTTGAACATTTCAACAGGGACGACAGTGGGTGGATTTTAGGTAAAGGAGTGAGAACTCAGGGAGAAGAGCTCACTCTCAAGATGAAGGGGAACACATCAACATTCTTCTCACACTCTGGTACTAAGAACGCAAAGATAGACTCATATACCATACTCTGAGGAGTCAAATTCAGTAGTAACTTTCAAAACTTAGCCCTGCCTTCTCTGGCCAAGCTTAATTCAAGTAATGGGGACCACCGTGTTTGCCTAAATTCTAGAGCCCATTTCTTATTACCACAACTGTTCAAGAGAACAATCTTCTAGAAAGTTCATCATAGGTCTTTTGTCATGGTTCAAAGTGTAGGACTTGCTTCTCTAAACCTCTTAATCCAATTTTGTTTTTTCTTTACTTGCGGAAATGATCTGATACTTTTTCTTCTCTTATTTATATTTTTTCACCTGATTACAAAAAATACTCCCGAGGAAACCTGTTCATAAAGATATTTTCAGTTGACGTGGAACTTTAAAATTTCAAAAATTTAATGTTTAGTTTTCTGTTTATAGAAATTATTAGGGCATAGCTTTTCATTTAACCTACTTAGGATGTCCCACGGGCTACAAGCCACAGATGTCATTTCAGAGGATCTTGCTAACGCTTCTATGAAACTATTTTCTTACAGTATTGGCACTAACTATACCTCCGTTTTTGCCTCCATTATCTTCTTTTGTCTGAGAAGTTTTTCTTTTTGGTTACTGAAGAGGAAAACACAGGTGATGCTGGAGTAGAATGACATAATTATACTCAAAGATGTTCTTGATTTGATGTTTAAGATCTGGTTTCACATATTCCTCCACTGTTTGGCATAACAAGGAATTAAGAACTTGGAAGGATGAAATGCACAAGCCAGTAACGGAGCAGACATTGTCAGGTTACACCAACTGACTTATCATGGCATAACAAAGTTATTTTCAAAGCTAAAGAAATTTTCTCAAGTGCTATTTGTAAGAGGGAAAGAAAGGATAAGTTGTTTCTTCTTAACTACTTTTAAAAATCCTCTGATCTTAGTAGGTCTACTAATGTTTGCAAAGAACTGTGTTGATACTGACCACTTCATTCAACTTTCAATCTCTCAAGCCTTATTAGCTTATTCCTTATTTAAGATATCTTAGCTGAAATGAAGGCTGCTACAAAGATACTAAGTTAAGCTTGAGAGGGAACCCAGTGTTCCACATGATTAGATCAGAGAAACTCCATAGGGGTGGCATAGACAAGAGAGATGGCCTTGCATAATTTCTTGTAAGAGTCCAGCTTCAGAATTTCACTAGAATATCCCCTTCCATAACACTTATGAGAGTAAGGAAGGGTTAGGAAATTCAGAGAGAGATTAGAAAGAAATGAAATCCAATGTCTAGCTTAACATTTAATGAAAAATATGACGTTATCTTCTGGGATTGTACAATCTGACCAGCTTAAAATGGCAAATAGAGACTGTATTAAGAAGGAAAACAAATGGCTTACTTCACTGCAGTGGTCACCTTGCATGCCTCCTTACCTTTCCTAATTTGTACTCTTAACTCTGCAATGCAGCAAACAGAAATTATCTAAATTAGATCTAATCAGCACTCTTAAAATGCCTTATTTACAATAATACTCTAAACAAAATAATCTTTTTGCCAAGCTACACACACAGCTGTCACCTTTATCTATGTGATCTAAAAGTAGTATGACGTGCTAATAAAAGCTAAGCATCTAATTTACAAATTGTAAAAGAAGGCATGTACTCAAGTATATAAAGTTTGAGAATTTACACTTCATAGCTTAAAAGAAAAAAACCACACCAACCAACAATACATTTTTCCTTACTAATCTACAACAAAATGAAACAGGAAGTGAGATGTCTCCATCTTTAAGAGGAGTATGTACCTTTTCCGTTTGGCACTACCAGTATCAGAGGTGGCTGAAGAAATCATGCTGTCTCCGTCTTCAATGTCATCCCTCCTGGCAAGCTCCTTTTTCTTAGACTAAAAAAGAGCAGATCCCAGAGTCTAGCTACACTTTATTAGAGTCACTCAGAAAGGTAATATCAAAATTAGGATACACAAAATTAAAGAGTTATTAAACATTTCAATAACCTGATTTAACAAAAGCTTGTGTGGCAGAAAAGTCGATTAAAAAATGCACCTAGAGTTGTAGAACTCCTTGGACAGTTAAACAGCAATTAAGACTACAAACGGCACAGATATATTAAAAAGCACTGAGGCAAGTTACAGGGACAGTGGCTGTGGTGGCCACAGTTCAGTAAGAGGCTCTCTGGTATCCCTGCAGTGTGTCGAAGTAGAAAGTAAGTTTACAGTGAGAGGTGAAAGAAGATCTCCTCTTTAACACATATATGTCTAACGACCTCCTGGAAGACAGAGCTGAAAGCCCAACCACAACAGATTTAAGGACTACACAAGGAGAGAGCTGAAAAGGAAAATGTTTGCAATCTACAGTAGTGTTCAAAAAAGTGTTGACTATAGATCATCCTATGGGTGATCTAAACTGCCTTATTTCCTTGCACCAAGCTTCTCTTTACAAAATGATACTATTAAAAACTACCAGATAGACCCAATTTGTGTTTCACTTTTTGTCTCAAAACCCTTTGATGACTCATGACCTTAGATGTCACCCATGGTTTCAAAAAGGATCTGATAAACTCATGGATACTATGCAATGATTAATCAGACTTAAAATGTCCTTTGGCCTAGAATTAACCCAACCTTGATAAAGACATGGTCTAGAACCAAAGGAATAAACTCTAATGACAAACTAGCCTATATAATTGGACAAACCACAAGTTACCCCTGTCTAGACTACAGGGAGACCTGGGAGAGGAAGCACTCAACAGGATTGCCTAGTGTTTCTGGATCTCATAAGTATTTTACTTATGACGTGATGCAATTCTATTCCATTTTTATTGCTCTATTAATGGTAAACATTTCCATCTTTTTTTGGTCACAAAGTTCTGCCTTACACAGGTTTCACTGTATTGTTTATACTCTATGAGGTCAGTACAACTCTAAAAAGCAGTACATGTTAAAATAAAAGATGTCATACTGCTTGGGGGGAATCTATACATCCTTACATGTATTATATTCAAAAGATACACATTATTTCAGTTATACAGAAGACAAATTTAGAAAAACCAAGAAACCACTCATACCTGCATGACTTGCTGTAACTTTAGAACGCGCTTGTAGATGGCTGAATTGGGAACATTATAACGCTTGGCATTTTCAAACATTAAATTCAGATCACACTCCAAATGATCTAAGGTTTCATATTCCTGGTTCTTAAGCTTGGTTCTGTGAAAAACAAACACAGAACAAGAACTTTCTTTAGCTATAAGGAATTCTAGCATAAAACTCTGACAAGCACTAGATGGTACCATTACTCTAAATCCTATTGCCATCAAGTCAATCCTAACTCACAGCAACCCTGCAGGACAGAACAGAACCTTCCTGTAGGTTTTCAAGCCTATGATCTTTTTTTAAGGCTCTGATCTTTATGGAAAAGCACCCTATCAGCCACCTTCTTCCCTGGAGCAGTTGGTGGGTTCAAACCAAAAACTTTCTTATTAGTAGCTGAGTGTTTAACCACTGTGCTACTACTAGGGCTTCTTGTAATATTAGTAAGTACTTTAATGTTACTACACAGAGGACCGGAATGGACACTTTAAAAATGAAGAGCATTATATACAGGCACTAAGTTTACCTGAACAACCCAAAGAACAAGACAAAACACTCGAAGAATAAAAGGATCAAAACACTCGAAGAATAAAAGGATCTAGAAAGGTGGCTAACTATAAAGCAAGTATCTAGAAAAAATCTTCATGTAGCTCCCTTTGGTGCCAATATGTAAATCCCAGGAAGAGATAAAAACCAACAAAGAATCATGAAAATTCATCCATTTATGAAAATAAGGGGCCATACCAGTTCTGAGGGTTAAACAAAAGAAAAAGTACTGGAAAAAATGAATGCAGAATAGTGTCACAGGGTCTTAAGGTGGTTAATGAGGCACAGTTTAGAACCCAATTCACTACTCTTTCTCCAATATGAACATTTGTAATTAGGATAAGTTAAAATTGAAGATTTTTCTTACTTATTTTAAGTCTTAAGAACTTAGGTATTTCTTTCAGATCATCCCTTTTTTATATCAACATTCACAAAAGCCCTTTGTACAAAGTGAAGAGAACTGTCTGCCTTAGCTCGTGTATCAATGTAACACCCATGCCAGACAAAGTTTCAGAAATGCTGAGTTTATGTTAATGGGTGAGAAACTACTCAGAAAAAGTGGGTTGGCACAACTTGAGGAATGCACTCAGTATCACCAAACTGTACAGACAGAAACTATTGAATTGTTGTGTACATTCCACAGATATAAATAAAGGAGGGGTAGGTAGTAGGGAGAGGAAAGGGTAGAATTGGAAATTAAACAAGGAGATGGCAAGCTCCACCCATCACAGGACAAAGTGGCATGTAGATCAACACTGTCAATAGTTCCTCCCCATTCTTACACTTTTGTTACCTCCAGGGATGTTAAAACTACCTTTCTTCCATCAATAGTTGCTCTTAGGCCTGCATTGACTGCAGGGCAATGGCTATTTAAATTAGAGTAAGATTAAAAAGCTAGTTCCTTAGTCGTACTTCAAGCATTAGTTACACATTACTAGCAGCTATGGACTGCCCCAAACTTCCGTGCTGCCCAGACAGCTCATACAGGAGGCCAGGCACAATAAAGTACCAACGTTCAAGTACCATACACGTGCCCAGGCTCAGCAAGTGTCCTAAGAAAGAATGGAAGATCAGATCTCCAAAAGTCTGACCCTTCATAACTCTGATGCCCTATCAGCCAGACCTCTCATTTCCCTATTGCCTCACACTTCTATATTAGTGTAGCATGTAACTAACTGAATAAGTTAAAATAAGGGGGAAGGTGCAGAATTACAGTACTGACTTTTAAGAAAGCAAGGTTTATATCAGAAAATTCCAACTTGGAACAAAGTTTAGGCACAGGATTGAACTGGCTGAATAATTCTGTCTTCCTTTGAGCTGAATTAATTACACTATCTGAAGAAACAGACAGGGAGAAAGGAAATAGACAAAAATTGTTTCACTAAAAGGGAAATCTAAATTTGTGTTATTTTAAGAGGCCAAAATAAACTGACATTCTACATGCTACCTGTGTGTAAGATTAAAAAAGCACAATGCAGCTTACTGATCAAATGATGAAAATAGAAAGCAGAAGTTACAAATGTAAAACTATGAAACATGCTAACTAACCTTATTCCCAAGAATCCAACATTAAGAGGATTTTAATTCCTACTCTATGAAAGGTTATCTGCCATGAAGACGTAATGTAAATACAGTTAAATTTTCAGTCACATACTTCTTTTCCTATGCAACCAAAGAAAGGTTTATTAGGAAAAGTACTTTGTAAAGGAAAACATGGAGAGACAAAGCAGCCTGTGACTCTCGCTGCACTGCTTTTTTCGGTTCCTGTTTCAATAAAAGCAAATTCAGTTTACTGAGGGACAGAGAGGTTTTGGATTGGGCTTTCAATTCTATTCTACTGATCTATGTGTGTGTTACTGTGTCAGCAGCAATCTGTTTTGAATTCTATGGCTGTGTGGTAGGGTTTTGAGATCAAAAGCATAAGGTTCTGTTTTTCTTCCACAGCAGTGTTTTGCTTATGGTGAGGTCTATGAAGTTGATAACTATTTTTCCCATCTCTCTGAAAAGTGATGCTAGACTCTGGATTGCAGATTGCCTTTGGTAGTATTCACATTTCACTATATTAAATTTTCCAATCCATGAAAGTGGTTTTATTTATCCAAAGCTGTTTAGTAGTATTTTAAACTTTTTGGGTAGAGTTCTTTTGTATCTCTACTTATTTTCACTCATAAATATTTTCTTTTTTGGTTGGCTATTTGTAAATGGCATTGTTTTCTTATTAGAGGTCTGTTACTGCTGTTATGTGTCATTGTTAGTGAAACAAATTTTGTCTATTTCCTTTCTCCCTGTCTGTTTCTTCAGATAGTGTAATTATGACTCATAGCAACCTTATGAACAATAGATCTGAATCCTGTCCTATCCTGTGCTATGGTCACCATCTCTGATACACCTGAACTTATTGCTGCAGATATCATGTTAATCTTGTTAGGAGTCTTCCTCTCTTTCGCTGACCTTCCACCTTTCCAAGCATAATATCCCTCTCCAAGGAACAGCCTCTCCTAGCAACATATCCAAAGTACAAGAAATGAAGCTTTGTTATCCTTGCTTCCAACATACACTTTGGCTGCACCTTTTCTAAGACATACCTCTTCGTTCTTTCAGTACTTTTCTCCAACACAACTCCAAAGTTATCAATTCTTCTTTCCTTCTTTTTCACTGTCCAGCTCTCAGATACACAACAAGTGACTGAAAAGATCATGGCTTGAATCAGGTGCACTTTTGTCTTCAAACTGACACCACTGCTCTTCAGTATTTTGGTGAGGTTGCTGACAGAAGCCTTGCCCAAAGCTGTATGACTGTTAATATGACTGTTAGCTCATGACTTAACATCAAGGGTACTGACTGTGGAACCAAGTAAGATGAAATCACTGATAGAGAAAGCCAAATAATTTTTGTATGGCAGTCTTGCACCCTGACACTTTGTAGAATCAAACTATTAGATTGACTTTATTTTCTTGCTGAGTCTTTAGGATTTTCTATCATCTGTAAATAGATAGTTTTACTTCCTCTTTGCCAATTTGATGCTTTCTATTTCTTTGTCTTAATGCTCTGGCTAGAATTTCCAATATAATACTGAACAGGAATGGTGATAAAGGGTAACCTTCTTGTCTGATTCTAAATTACAAGGGGAATGCCTTTCAATTGTCTCCATTGGCAGTAACGTTGGTCACTTTTTTTTTTGCCTATTGATTGGTCTGCTTACAAAATTCGTATATATTACGTTTCACACTATTCTTCATTCACATGTGTTTCATACAATCATTCTAAAGCATTGTGTTTTACAAAATTAATCACCATTGGACCTTGCCCATCATTACCCCGTCTTTTCACCTGGATCCTTCCCATTTCCTTTCTCTACTCCCTTGGTTTTCTTATATATCCTTTTAACTAAATTGCGGAATGTCATGTCATTATTTCAATTTTGTTGAGCATTTTCATCAAGAAAGGGTTGAACTTTGTCAAATGCCTGTTCTGCACCAATTGAGATGATTCAGTGGTTCTTCTCTTTTATTTTATTGGTGTGGTGGATTACAATGATTGTTGTCCTATGATCAATCTTTCTTCTTGCCTAATTGTTATGAATTCCCACTTGATCATGATGAATGAATTTTTTAAAAAAATATGATGATTGATTCTATAAAATCTAGAGATTTTGTTCAGAGTACTGGTTTACAATATGCATTCATTTACTAGTAGTATCTTTGCACTTGCTTCATAGAATGAGTTCATGAGTATTCTGTCTTTTTCTATATTCTGCAATATTTTTAGTAGAATTGGTGTCAGCTCTTTGAATGTTCGCTAGAATTCTCCAGGGCTGCTGTCTAAGCCAAATGCTTTATTACTCCCTAACCTTTTTAAGAATCATAATCTGACAACACAAATGCCTACCTGAAATTGTTTTCTTTTTTACTTGCCATTTGCCTATTATAGTGCAAAACTATTATTTGTATTTAACCAATTTTACTTCTCTTTTCATATAAGAATGTTATTTACACATATTCTTGCTTATTATGTGAAAACTATCTTTACCTATCTTCTTCTTGCTGTTGTGTACCATCTATTTGGAACCAACTCACTGCTGACTCTCCAGTGGGTTTTCAATGGCAGTAAAATGCATGGAAGAAGACTTCCCATCTTCTCCCATGGGGCAGACAGTGGATTTAAACTGTGTACCTCTGTGTTGGCAGTTCAATTCCTTACCACTAAGAAACCAGAGCTTCATTATCTATCTTAGAAGGACTATATATAAACTCAATCACAAGAAAATGGATTTATAAAGAGCACTGCAGAAGATATCTTACCTGATCTGTTGTAGTGATATGGGCATTTTAATTTGTTGATAATAATCAGGGTATTTTTTCTTTGAAGGCAAATGGAAAAAAGGTTCAGCTATTAGCTGCCCTTGGTTATTCCGACAGCTTCTAACTGTGTCATAAAGCTGATAAAATGGATTTGAGACATCCATAAAGGAAGTAATACTCTCTGCTTCTGATTCTCCTTCTTCATATCGTGCAGCTGAAAAGAGGAACAATAAATAAAGGGTTTCAACAAAAGGTTAAGACAGAAAAGGAAAGCTCAAAATTTTAAAGCCCTCCCAACAACCTTCCAGATTACAAAGAAAAATTATTTTGAAGAACGGCTTTTGATTTAAAAATGTAGTACATAGCTCTATTAGTCAAACAGCCTGGTACTGTTATAATGATAAAACATACAGAATAATGGGCATGAACTGAGTCCAGAAAAGTCCATATATTTATAGTTAATTGATTGCTGCTAAAAGTGGGAAGACTATCCAATGACGAGCCTTGTTCAAGAAATAGTATTGAGACACTGGATTTTTCCATGAAAAAGGATGGTAGACCTAACCTAACACTTAATAAAATTAACTCAAAATAATGTGAGAATAAACTCTTAGACGAAAATATGTTTCAGGATCTAGTTGTTGACAACAAATTCTTAGATATGGTACCAAAAAAATACGAGGAACACAAGATAATAAAATAAGCATCATTGAAATGAAAACCTTTCATTCATCAAAACTTTTATCTGTAAAATGAAGTGATAATCCACAGAAATGGGGAAAATTTGGGATTATATGTTGGGTGGGCTTTATGAGGATGAACGTGGTATCAAGATTTGAGGAAGACTCATCAACAACCTATGTTATTATACAGATGACACAACTTTGCTTGCTGCAGCTGAGGAGGAACTGAAATGCTTGCTGCAGAATGCATTTAATACGTGGCCAGGAGAAACTGGCCCTTGGAGAAGGACATCATGCTCAGAGGGTGAAGGGATGATGCAGGAGACGAAGATCCTAGATAAGATGGATTGATATAGTAACTGGGAAAATGGGAGTTAGATGTGTCAGAATCAGTGAGAATGGCTGTGGACAGGGCAGGCCTCAGAGTTGCTGTTTGTAGGGTTGCGATGGATTGCAGGCAACTCACTGGTACATACACCACAACATATGTTGGGCAAGCCGTTAATACTAAAAAGCTATAAAGAACTTTGATAACTTAGTAACAAAAAACCCCAACCAATTTAATAATAGGCAAGTTATTTTAAAAGTAATTTCATCAGAGAAGATATGAAAATGGCCAACAAATACATGAAACAATGCTTCCCACATTAGTCAGACACTGCTGCTAGCTATCACTGAGTGGACTCGTAGTAACTTCACATACCACAGATTGAAATCTTGTCCAATCATGTGCTATCTCAGGGACATGAACATCAAAATCACAAATATGTGATTCACCCACTAAAATGGCTACAATAGGCATTTGGACAAGAACAAACTGGGAGGAGGGTAAAGAGAATAGTGCAACAATGAATGAGTGGAAGCCCAAAATCTCTGTAAATGTTTATGAAAATTAATAAAATATAATTATAGAAA